GGGGATTGATGGCTGTGGCGCCATCTTTGTGCCGGGTAAGGTGCAAAATGGTGTCTTAAAGGCGCCGCCACCCTTCGTGCTGCAGTCTCAGGGGGGCCTGTGTGGCTCCTCCTGCTGTGGTGGGACAGGTATATATGGGAGCTCGCAAAAGCCTGTTTCTTTCAATAATAATAATAAAAAAGATTCCACTCTTCAATAAGATTTATTATGTATGTAATTATACATTAAATACATGTCCCTTGTGTACACATGCTGACCACTGCAACCTCACTTTGCTGCGTTTTTTTCCCCTTAAAAACCAACGCACTCACATTTTTTCAAAGTGTTTTGTAAACACCATTCTGTTTTGCCTGGCACATACTTGCCAAGCTGGGGCTGCTCAAAAACCTCAGCGTTTCGCTGCCTCACACACTGGGAACGGTGACATGACTGCACCAGGAGGCTGCATCCAGCAGCAGAAATATATTTGAGGTATCCGAAACACTAGCTGATCCGTGAGGGTCATATTCCTTTGGCTGACTTGCCCAAGAGCGGCATTGCTCTAAACCAAATCATCGCGGATCAATGGTGCCCCATCCCTCCCATTTTCCCTGCCCACTTCCATGCTTCCTTGCAGTGCCCCTTGCAATCACACCCTGTGCTTGGCCCGTTCAGCCGGGATGAGGAGGCCACGCAGGACGGCTGGAGGGATAACTTCTCCTTCCAAGCCCTTAGCAAGTGTTTGCGTGAGATAGATGTTTACAAGCAAAGGGTAATTTACGTCTGCTCCCGGTGAAATCTTAGTCACGACGGGGATGCCGCAGGCCTGCGACAGGTCGGGAGCCCTCAGCAGAGCGGATATCCGCTGAATCCTTTCCCCATGGCTCACTTTTTCCTACTGCAAGAGGGAGACGGGAGTTACTCACTGCCCCTGACGCCTGATTCATCAGCACACATAAAGCCCCGCGCAAAGGGGAGCGGGAAGCAAGAGGAGGCCAGCGTGGCCGTCCTCAACCTCCAGCGACCCTAACAAGGAGGCTGCACCCGCAGCCCCGTCCTGGCAGCCCTCAGCAGGGCGGCATCTCGGAGAGAGCCCAGCAAAATGCCTGGCGGCTGCGTGAAGAGGGGAGTCTGCCTCAGCCGTGCCGGGTGATCCCAGCCGCCCTGCCGCAACGATCCCGCTGCCACCCGGCCACAACGATCCCGCTGTAATTACGCTGCTGCGCGTCTGCATCTGAGCGATATGCGGCAATATTTGGGCAACCAAGACACGTTCGCTTTAAAATGAAGCGGCTCCTCCCAGGAAGTCAGCGGAGCGGGGAAGCCGCTCGGATGCGCAGGGACATGGATGCCAAGGGACCCGTGCTGGACTCCTGCAGCCTAAAGCGGAGCGGCCCCGCCGGGTGTAAGTCGGGTCCCCCCATCACCGTCCCTCCGAGGCGTCGCGGCAAGGGGCGCCCGGCCGCTCCACATCCACCCTCCTGCTCTGGCAAGGCCCAAGGGACCGTCCCGCGAGGTGACCTTATGTCTGGCACCTCTAAACCCCTCAGCGTCCTGTCCCAGCGCTGCCCAGCGCAAGCCCTGGGACACATCTCAGCCCGGCTCCTTCGCCCGCTGCAACACGGTGAAGTCCTGTTTGCCCCCCAGTCCCTTTGGTTTTCCTTAAATTGTTTTTTTTTTTTTTCCTGAGTAAAGAAATGCAAAAGACCACCCAGCTGATACCAACTTTGCACTTCTGTCAGGAAAAGCACCAAATGCAAAACATGCAATTTTTTTAACTGAGGCTTTGCTTGGTGCCTGTGTTGTGCAACGATCATCTCACCCCGCTGTTCTGTGTCGGGGGAAACGCAGGTCCGTGTCCGTCGGAGTGAGGCAGTGGGAGCCGTGGCATGATCCGGAGAGCGGTGCCGTCCCTGCGCCACGTCCTGCTGGAGAGGGCGAACGGTGGCGGACGCAGCTTGTGCTTCAGCAAGGTACTGAAACGGGCCTGGCCGTCACCCTGGTCCCTGGTGCCCCATTCAAGCGCTGGCAGTGCAGGGAGCAGAATTGCACTGCGGGAAACAGCCACCTCCATGCCTGGTTATTTCCAAGTATCCTGTGCAAAGGGAACATCTCATAAGCAGGAGAATATGTGTTATATAGGAAAAAAAAAAAAGTGGCAGCTGCTCGCTGCCAGGCAAAGTGCACCTGGACAAACACACTAGTTCTGGGGAGCCCAAGGGGCTGGAAGAGGTTCACAGATGGAGTGACTTCAACCCCGTGTCATTTCTAGCCACGCACAGGGACCTCGGCCAAGATTGGGACCAATGGGTGTCAGCAGAAGAAAGTTTTGGGTATTTTCTTTCCTGAAAGGGTTGGATCAGGCAGGATCCTTCCTGGAAACTTGAAATTTCTGGGCTTAAGGCACCTTATTCTCAGCCACCCTGTCAGACTTGATGCTGTTGGACACCCTGACCTGCGGCCGGCAGCAACGTCCCCACAAGTGGACAGGGCTCTAGAGCTATTAATATTTAACCTCCAACTTTCTTATACTGCTTAAGTCATTAACCCTGCTGTGCCCAACAGCATCAGCACAGGCACCGGGTCCTGCTGAGTGCAGGATCCTTGAGCTTGTGCAAGCTTGGGGGCTGCCCCATCCCTCCAGGCGCCGTCTTGACTCCTGCCTGCCCTTGGCACCGAGCCCGGCGCCGCGGGTGAGCTCAGAGTCCACCACTGTGTGTGGGGACGCGGGATCCAGCCACGACTCGTTGCAAAACCCTTAGCAAGGGCTGAGGTGAGAGAGAAAGTTGAAGACCTCGAAGCAAAAATAGCAGCAGGGCATTCCCAACGGGAACAAGCAGGTAAGCAGGGTGCCCCGAGGCCGCGGGACAGCAGACCCCGTATCCTCCGACCTTCCCTGGCGGGAAGCTGGAAGCAGAGCACAGGGCTCCCTCCCGCACGCCCAGCTCCTCGTTTCGCACCGCGGATACCATCAGGTGCCTCCTCTTCCCTGTTCACACGCACGGTGTCTGCTGTGGTGGGGACGGTTTGCTCCGCTCACTGCAGCACGGATGCCACCCGTGAGCCTCACGATGGCTTTTCTCACTGTGTTGACCACAGCATGGCCCTGGTTCCCAGGCCCCTCACCACCTAATCCTCTCATCTGCTGCTGAGTTGTTAAATTCTGTCTTCACTGCTAGCAATGCCATTTTTGTCATCCTCATGACTAAGCCCCTCTCCAGCACTGGTGCTTTCTTCCCAGCATGTTCATCCCAAGTGGAAGAGGTGTTTGCTCTGCTCAAATGCTGTGAACTTCAGATGCAGGGACCTGCATTTAGTTTGGGATCCAGAGCACTTACTTTCACCAGGGGGAAGAAGGAGCAAAT